ATAGGTTACTCTGAACCTTCTTTATTTATAGTTGATGACAGCTCAACACAAACCAGTCCATATATTTTAGCTGTGTTTAGTTTTTTAAGACCCTCATTTTTCAAAGAAATCTTCCAGATTTTTTAAGGGTATAAAATGAATTGTTTGAAAAGAAATTTCTATGTTATTTTTTGGCTGTATGCTAATCTCCTTATTCTATATTAGTTTTAAATTTTTACCGTGAAATCTTCCCTAAAATCGAAAGGCGAAGCCCAGGTGTGCCCAGACCGGGCTCACCGATAATCTAGGACAATGGAGAGTCTGTATTCTTTGTTTCTCCGCATCTCATCGGTCAATTATTAAAAAACAGAAAGTTGGGTATTTGGTTATCAATTAACAAATTGTTTGTTGGGGTGATTTTGTGAAGGTCATCAGTAATTTTATCAGTTAGCTGTTTGGTGTTTCACTAGAGCAGTTCTTTTTTTTCTCTTTCGCTTTCTTTCAAAGTTTCGCTAGCGCTACGTTCTAATAGTTTTGACTTGTAGACGTTTATTTAATTATATTTTATAGTTTATAATTTCTAATTGTTGATATAATATTAGTTTATTTTTGTCGGATTTTTAATTATTTTCCAAACGGATCGGATAGGGCTGACCATTTCTGAAGCACTGAAAGTGTGTCACGAATTGCTTTCAGATAGTGAATCTGATACGGATCCCAGCACATATGCAAAACATGCAATATTGGGTTTTGCTTTTTCAAAGGTGGTGTCACTTTCTTCGAAAAGTAGCACCATAAAAAAATAGACTAAAGTGTAAATATGAAATGTAAATAATGTAAATATCATATACGCAAGTTACTTTTTTTCACACCATTCATGCGCATGTAATCATCATATACCCAAAAAAAGAACTTTTAGGGGGTGTGGAGTAGCAGGTCGTCCCGTGGCACACCCTGGGTAATGCTAAATATGCTACGGTATTCAGAATCTAGTGTTTTTAATCGTAGGCAAAATCTCTTACTCTTTTACGCACTTCCCAGCAAAGCTCGTTTCAGCACTCTTTTCGAAGCTGTATTCAATCAGTGTGCCCGCTTCGAGCACACCCACAGAATTAAAACGATAAGTGCTATCTTCGCAAAATTTTACTTGTGTACTCCTCTAGGCCTAATTAGACTGCCTACCTTTTTTTTAAATCGAAATTCCAACTTTAAAATGTAGAGTGCGAGAAAGGATTAGAGAAGAAAGATCGAGCTTTTTCAATCAAGGTGTTTTATCATAACGACAATAATTTTGAAATTAAATTGCACTGCAAGAATACCGACTCTTGAAAGATTTATAAAAACTGTCTATGCCTAGACATACTCTTATCTTTGAAAAAGATGATTATTGAACTTGAAGACACTGGAGAGCTGCGTATGCTGTGTATGCTGCGAGGAAGAAGACAGAAACGGATTTTAGATGAAACTGTCGTCCCTCTAGCCGTGGCCAAAAATGCGTCTGGTTCCCAATATTCTTTGACAAGTGCTCGAGTAATTTCACGTCATTCGTCTCTCTTTTGGTCGACATTACGAAAGGTTTTGAAATTCATTGTAAAATGGTATTCATACAAGGTTCAAGATATGCGGAGCTGCATCTTCCAAGACGGGACAAATGCATTGCTTTAGCTAGCCTTCTTTTCGTCAGGATAGCCGTTGACAGTGCATGGCCTTGGAATATCTTCTGGTCGGAGAGTCCGAGGCCAGGACAAAGCACTGCTTTTGTTAGCCTTTTTTGGGTCAGGATAGCCGTTGACGATGTACGCCTTGGAACATTTGTGGTCGGAGAGTCTCAGGCCTGGACAAGCGCACTGCTTTTGTTAGCCTTCTTTTGGTCAGGATAGCCGTTGACAATGCACGGCCTTGGAATATCTTGTGGTCGGAGGGTCTCAGGTCTGGACAAGAGCACTGCTTGTGTTAGCCTTCTTTTGGTCAGGATAATCTTTGACAATGCATGGCCTTGGAACATTTTGTGGTCGGAGGGTCTCATTTTTCAGTACACAGAGCAGTTAATATTCAAAACTGTTGCATTTGAGGCACTGCAAGTCCTATTTTTTGTGTATGAACACTTTCTGCATCCCGATTGCATTACTGTATGATGTGATTTTACTCCTGATTTCGTCCTTTGTTCCATTTTCTTTGAGGAAAAATCTTCTCAAGGCCCTCATTACGGTACCATTACGGTACCCATTCCATTACGGTACCCATTACTGCGAACTTCTTCAGGAGCAAGGCGGTCCTGCCTTGTTGTCTTTTTGCAAGATGGTACACTACCTCTCGTTGCCGGACCGGTGAAGGCACTACTTCTTGTCCACTTTGGAGATGGTAGGTAATTTCGAGAAATTTTCCAACTGCCTGATCTTCTCTTTCTTGAAAGAAAATCTCTGTGGAGGAAACATACGAACTGTGGCTAAATTGAAAGCAAGCATAAACACGTTGCGTTGCTGCAAGTTGCTCGAGACACTCTTCAACGTATTGTTAAATGCCCTTTGAACATATCATTGACGCAAAGGAAATGTGGAAAGAACAAATTCTCTGATTTAATAAAGAAAGATTCTTATTTGTGCTTATTGTTCTTCATGCGCTTCCTTCTCGCCTAATGGTCTAAATTTGGCACTAGTATTTTTTAATGCAATTTTCTTTTCCCCCGTGATCTCTATACATATATACACAATTTTGAAGAATTAAGGTCTGCCGGAACGAGCTCTATATTGGTCTAAATAGGGCAACTTTATTTTTATTACCATCCGTGTATGTATGTATGTAGGTATGTACGTTCCTCGCAATTTAATGAATTTTTGATTAACAAACTCAGCAGTTTGAAAGGGAGCTGTGGCAACACTATTCGAATTAAAACCTTTTTATCTCCGCCACATCAGACTGTTGCCATTCTTTAAAATGTAACTTTCAGATTTAATCAACAAATTTTATTATCTCATTGTAATTTTTTTATATATACTACATTTCTATTGAAATTAATTCCAAAGGGGGCAATTTGCCCCGAAGGACTATTAATTTCGTTTTGGCATTTTGTGTTGGTTCACTATATTTGTCCGATTCACTTTTAAAATTGTTGCCACCCAATGTTAGAGTCCTGCATTATATTTGAAAAAATTAAATAATGAAGAATCTGCATAAATGGATGTATGTTCTCGCATTGTGATAAAACAACGGTACCGAGAGGTAACCAATTTTGAATGACGTCATCCTACTGCGAACAGGAGCATGTGGAAGCCCAAATTTGAAATGTAGAATTTTTTTTATGATCAATTTCATATTTTGTGAACCTTTAACGAATTTTTGGTTAGCAAGCTCAAAGATTTCAAAGCGAGCCATGGCAGCGTTGTACAGAAAAATTATTTTTATCTAAAGCGCGCGGACTGTGTATCGGAAATTCTAAAGATAACCTCATTTTAAAATTATTTTGCGGTATTGCTGTTGAACTGAATTTTATGGTTTAAGTGCTAAGAACATGATAATAAATAAATAAAGGTAACACACAAAATTCTAAAAAGAACGCCCCTTTGGACGTAATTTAGAATCTGAAAACTTTCAGATTTTTTTTTATTTTGTTATTATTATATTAATATTATTATCATTATTTAATTATACTTATTCTTTAAATATCCTTAACATTAAGCTGTCTACCGGTTAGTGACAAGAAATGAATGATGGTTTATAAATAACTGAATTGTGCTCGCGAATGTAACATTACTGCCGTTATAAAAATGCCATTGGACTTGAGAGAGAAAAATGGCAGTTTCAACTCCTTGGCTTGGCGCCAAGTTCTTTATACCATTGATGACGTGGGACGTCCATTTCCCGAGGCTAGAGAATTCGCAAGGGACAGAAATGCATTTCTTTTGGGGAATTGCTTTACCGAAATCAGATTCTCCGCGTAGCTCAAAGTGCGTATGCGTGTTTCAGCTATACTGCTTTGTTTTGTGGTATAACACTGGCGGTATATGTTTATTCGCGTTATAAATGGTTTCTACATGTAATTCTACAAAACGAAACTGAATTTTTTTGATGTTTCGTAAAGTTTTCGCAAAAAAAAACCATCCTGTATCATTTCTTCTGATTCACGCAATTAAAAATTGCAAAAGCAGTATATTTTTAGAATTTCTGTTCTTTTCGCAGTTTATCATATATGAGCGTTCAGTTTTCTTAACCTTCCAGCACGCGCTCGTCGTATTTTTTACGACATCCGTTATTTTACCGTTTTGGGCACGAAGAACGACAAAGATGAGTGAATAGTGATAATAAATTTCCTAAGAAATAAAATATGAATCTTATTATTGCAAAATACAAATGATATCACATTCAAATATAAGTAATTTTTTAAGTTCTTATGTTTGTGAGATGGAAATGCAATGATGTATTTCATTATAGAACATTTTAAATTTATTATTTAATAATTATATTTTAATATTCATCAAAGTTCGCTATTGTTCTCCCATCCAAAGGTTTTCTTGTCTTCCTTTTCTTCATCATATAATTCTTGAAGAATGCGAGCAAAATCAGCTGGTTGCACATATGCTTTTGCCATGAAAACCGATATAAAATTCACAGAGCCAAATGTATTCAAATTAGAATAATACACGGCAATTAATAACAAAAAATTACAAAATATACCAGAAATTATGAAATCATAAAACTCGAAAACTCACAAAACGTACCAAACCCATGGAACTATTAAACGTCGATCACAGCAAAGCTTCAGAGGTGTGTTCGTTCATTACACATCTCGAGCGTAGACTGGAAACTGAACTCACGGTGATCCTTCGACGCACGGTGAAATTAGCATTTTATAACTTCTGCACGAATATTATAATTCGGGTGATATTTACCTCGAACTGATCTTAATCAGAACCTGTGTTTCGTTTCCAGTTCGCTATTATATTGCAATTAATTTTCATTTTCGTGCGTTGGGATCAATTATGAGCAGTTTCGTTTGACGATTTTTTTTTTTTTTTTTTCCCTAGAGAGCCGCGCAAAGTGATTCTGAATAAAGGAACAACTGGGCTTGGCTTCAACATCGTCGGCGGCGAAGATGGGGAGGGCATTTTCATCTCCTTTATCTTGACGGGAGGCCCTGCAGATATCAGCGGCGAGCTGAAGAGAGGTGACCAAATTCTCTCGGTAAGTTTTTTTCAAATACCTTATTCCCTTCATCTTCAGTATTATTCTTCTGGTGACTTTTAGCTAAGGAACAATTTGAATTTTTGCTTATTATTATCAAATGATTCAACATGTTCATTTGGAATTTCATTCCTCTGTTTTCAAACGATTCTTCCTTTTGTATAGATTTAACACATTCCCCCAGGCGTGTTGTAGAAGTGTAAATGATTAGCATGTCCTGCTAGCAAACTGAGAGATTTGTAGTTCCAATCCTGGAAATACATCCTTTTTTCAGAAACTTCCCAGGACAAAAATGGTAAAAAAGAGAAAATTGCAGTTATCAAGTAATGATCCTAGATGCTATGAAAGTAGTCCCCTTGGCTATCTATATACAACTGTCAACGTTTCTGGAGGTCTGAAATAATACGTAGGTTGGGGCAAAAGTTATAGCAACTATTTTTTTTTCTTGAAGATACCAGTCCGGTTGAAAAATGTGACACATACAGACGAAAGGACAAGGTCTTAATTACATGTGTGAACAATGAAAAGCACTGAAATATCGTAACACACGAATTTATTACGGTAGTATACAGGGCAATATAGCCTTCACTGTGCAAAAGAATGATAACACAATACACATTAAGTTGACATGACAAAGCTGGGTCTAAAGACCCTCAATGTAGTCCCCTGTTACTGTCCCACGATGTGGGAGGCGCTGAATACCATCAGCCTCAGCATTTGCCGCACCATGTGTGAATTGGGTCATCTGTGGACGCAATGTCCTCTCGTGTTACAAACCACCTACCACGTATTGGTTCCTTAATCTTGGGAATGAGATCAAAGTCACAGGATGAAAGGTCAAAGACAGTACGGTGGGTGCTCCAATTCTTCCCATCTCCAACGTCGGAGTAGCTGCCGTACACACTGTGCTTTATGTGGTCTTGTATTGTCGTGCAGAATTATTGCACTGTCCACAAGATCCGGACGTTTATCCCGAACGCCACATCGTACCTGTCGCACCAGGAAGTCCCTGTAGTACTGTGCAGTTACTGTTCTGCCATGAGGAACAAAGTGGCAAACAATGACACCCCTGACATCATACGCGACAATCACCATCAGTTTGACTGGGGAAGGATTCTGACGCTAGCTCATTACGCAATATCCTGTGAACGGTGCGTTTCTCGATGCCACTTGCCCTCTCTAACTCCAGTAATGGCCGTCGTTTGTCTTCATCCATGAGGTGCTCGATGACGGCACGTGCCAAGTCGGTCCGCACACTCACCGGTCGTCTCGAACGTTGCTTATCACTGGTTGAACGTTGCTTATCACTTGCTGAAACTTTCCTACCCACCGTGCTACTGTACGATATGGTAGGGCATTATTCCTAAGGGCTTCTACTAATTCACTGTGACATTCCATCGCATTTCTCCTCGGAGAACGGCTAAATGTAAGTGCGCTGCTCAACACGGATTACTTCCATCTCGCACGGCACAGATGAAAAATTAGCAACCGTCTTCTCCGAGAATCGAACCACGGACCTCTGGAATACCGGCCCAGCGTGCAGAACCACTACACCACGAAGGCACGCTAGAAAAGGGGGAGAAATACCTTATAAGTTAACCCTTCCTACTCGTGTCGTCCATTCCACATATATTTGAACATAGCTTGAGAAAACTCCCTGTTCCCATTCAGGACACCTCATATTCCCGAAACAAATTAAAAGACATCCATTAAGTTCTGACATTAAAGTCCTGACGCCCTTAGTTATCTAATACACAGCTGATAACGTTTCTGAAGGTCTTGAAAGCAAGCAGAGAAGTCTTCAGCTGCGATGCTTGCAAGCTCATTTTCACAGCCGTTCGATGTCTGCAATAATCTCGGTGAAGCTTTTTTTTTAGACCACCTTTTCCCTCACGGAAACAAGAAGAAATCACGATAATCTTTGACGCAAATGTGAGATCACGTCTGGCTCGATCTAATAGTTCAGCAGAAATTGTTAGTCTTTCCTCTTTCTGTTCATCTGTTAGTGAGTAAGGGACGATTCTTGCATTAAGTTTCCGTTTCCCTAAATCAGCGGTGCCCAACCTTGTGCTCGCCGATCGTTTTGTTTTGTATGTGCTCGCCAGCCCCATTAGGTACTACGAACAAAAAATATTTTTAAATAACCATTCTTTTATGTTTCTTAATTGTTAAAATATAGTAAGTATTTACAGTCATAAGAGATATTTTGCAAGACGTTATAAAATAATTGATTGCTGACTGATCATCTTGATAGCGAACATGGAATCTTATTGCTTCATTCCGATGTTAGATGGCTCGGCAGGGGGAAAGTACTTCAACGATTTGTAGAACTTCTTTCGCCAGTAAAGCAGTTTTGGGAATCCGGAAACGAAAGTTATAAAGAACTGGGCGATCATAATTGGTTATCCGATCTGTATTTTCTCACGGATGTAACAGCTAAACTGAAGAAGATCTCCAGGCAAAAAGAAAAAAACCCTTTTTCAATTGACTGGGACTGTAACTGCTTTTCAGATAAAGTAAAGTTTGTGGATAAATCAGACGAAAGGAACAAATTTCACCCATTTTCGTAATTTATCAAGCCATATTAATAACGACAGGCAATTGAAACAGAGAAATACTCGGGAAACCTAAATGCGCTGAGAAATAATTTTGAACTCCGCTTCTCTGACTTCCATAAAGTTCAACCAATAGTACTATTCATCTCAAAACAATTTGCCGAAATTAATATTTAAGATGTATCACGGAAGATTGGAAATATGTTTAGCAAAAATGTTGATGTTTTGGAAATGCGCTCGCCATAGGCCAAAATGTGCACGCGAGAGGACAAAGGTTGGTCACCAATGCCCTAAATCTTTCGCGTGTCATCTTACGATACACATCACGATTCAGATTCAGTTCTAATATACGCACAGTTGCACGACAGTCTTCTTGCGGTAACTGGGCCCACCAGCGGCCGAGCGGTAAAGTCGCTGAACACTGGTAGTTCGGTCCCGGGTTCGAATCCCGCGAACGGGCTGACTGCATGGGTGTTTTCGTGGTTTTCCCCATGTGTAAAGTGTATACGAGCCAGTTTCCCTTAGAAAGTCCTCCGCGAAGGCATCCCTCCCCTTAGGCAGATAGCCCTCGAGGCTTTGCCGTAATTGAATAACCTAACCTTCTTGCGGTAACTTCTTTACGCTCTCCACGCATCGGGGGCCCACCAGCGGCCGAGCGGTAACGTCGCTGAACACTGGTAGTCCGGTCCCGGGCGCAAATGGGCTGGCTGCATGGGCGTTTTCGTGGTTTTCCCCATGTGTAAAGTGTATACGAGCCAGTTTCCCTTAGAAAGACCTCCATGAAGGCATCCTTCCCTTAAGGCAGATAGCCCTCGAGTGCTTTGCCGTAATCTAATAAACCAAACCAAACCAAACCATCCACGCATCGGTACCAGCTCTGGGATCGTCTTGCACTGAATCTTTGCCTTCGAGAAACCTTTTGTGCCACTCGAAAACACGATTTCTTGAAAGTGCCTTTTCTGCATACGCTCGCTTAATCATGTTCCACGTTTCATAAAGGAACTCCGAGTTTAACGCAGAACTTGATGTTCACTCTTTGCTCACAATCAGCATCCATTGTGTCACCTTAACGAATGGCGACAACAATCCGAACAGTTGTGTTGCTAAACACAGCCCTGCCGCCTAGTAAGTTTGCGCGGAAACATGGCCAAGGTCATATCAAGTAAGAATACACATCGAGACCCATAAAAGCATTTGTTCCTTTTTAGTACTGCAAACTCAGAAATAAAAAAATTTTCCTGGAACGTTTCTGCTGTAGTTCCAGGAAATGTAGATAAAAGGATGTAGAATAGTTCATTTTTCAAGTTTCCAGACTTCGAAAATCTTAATACAATAAATTTTTGCCGAACGTTTATATGTGGAACGCGATTACGCATACATACGTTATATCAATTTTCTCCATTTCATTTGGCAACTTTCGTATTTCATTTATATATTCTCGTCCAATTCTTCGATTAATATTCCATCTAATAATTTCACATGACTCAACATATGCCTGACCTGCTGCGAAGAATTTTCGTCTTATATCACTGCATAATCTACAGTTCTCTTTATTTATTTTAATAAGCAAGGGATATTTTAAAGAATTATATTTTAAACATATAACATTATCACATTAATATAGAAATATGGGGAGAATTTTGGCTACATAATGGGACATGGCATCTGCTTCATCCAACTCTATATAACTGCAATTCGTTAATTCTTAAATCTTCAGTACTCTGTCTTACTGTTGCCACGTATTTTTGTTAAATATTACAATCCTTTTGATCACGGTCATGTACTATTATTTATAAGTTGTTATAAAATTAATTTTTACGGAACTTGAGAATTCCTAATAAACAGTTATTATTTGTAAGTCTTATAATATATTTAATAAAATAAAAACGGGATATCTTTAGTTCCGATAAACAGGAATCCATAAGTAGGAATTGATTTTAATATGTGAAAAAATTATATTCACATCTAGTGCCATCCGCTAGAAGTTTAAAAAAAGTATTTGAACTTGAGTGGATGAATAAAAATTATTTTATTAACGACTGAAAATTTGAACAAGATATAGTGGAGTGTGAGCTAATAGTAGGAATTAACGACTTCATTATCCTTTAGTTCCTTTAGGTTTGCAGGATAATTTAATAAACTAATCCCTCTGGCGCTCCTTAGAATCATTTTAAAATACATTTTCAATCACCAAATCCTTATCGCGTTTCTTCTGTAATGGTGCTGCCACCTATTGCCCATCAGTGGAATCTTCACTACTTCTCCCGTTTTGTTCGCTTGTTCGTTAACGTCGTTTATTATATCTTGGATTTACGTTATCTGAATCTGAGTAATATAAATCTTGATCAGAGTAATTTAAATAACTCTATTTTGCCTTCTCGTGATTATTCGGAATTTATATACTTGTTCACTCGCAACGTTTCAGTAAATTTCTGGTATGAGAATACATATTTGACCCCTACTTTCCAGCGATAATTTCAAAGCACAAACAAACCTTTTGGTTGGCAGTTTGTGTATTTCGTTTAAGTAACTGAAAATAAAACGGTTTCAGATACAAAAATAAATAAATAAACTGAAAGCTTTCAGATTTTATATTACGTCCAAAGCGGTGTTTTTTAACGTTTTGTGTGTTACCTTTACTTATTAAATATCATGTTCTTCGCACTTAAAGCATAAAATTCAATTCAACAACAAAATATTTAAAAGAACATATCTTTAGCCATTCCGATACACAGTCTCGCTCGCTAGCGATAAAAATGTTTTCCCCCCTACAGTGTTGCCATTGCTCGCTTTGAAATCTTTGAGTATTTTAATTAAAAGTTCTTTAATGTTTTACAAAGTATGAAATAGATAATAAAACAAATTCCAAATTGGGAATTCCAGATGCCCATATTCGAATGGAAGACTATGTTATTCAAAATTAGATGTTTCTATTTACCTTTGTTTTTTCACAGTCCGAGAAACATGTATACATTCACGCTGATACTTCATTATTTAATTTCTTTAAATATAATGCAGGGCCGTAATATTTGGTGGCAACAATTTGAAAACCGACGCAAAATGCCAAAACGAAATTGATAGCATTTCTGAGTTAATTAAGGAACCGAGAATTAGGCCTTTGGGCTAATTAAAGAACAAATCTCATTTGTATGAGTCTATATGACTGATGACGTGTATTTAAATTGAAGAATTACTAAAAAATTGAATGTTTTATAACTGAAGGTTAATGTTTATATTACAAAAGCAATTTATTTAACATTTCGCCGACGTCATGAATGAACAGCCTCATGAAATAGCTTACTAGTGAAACAATTTTTACCCTCCTTAAGCAGACTAGTCACGATTCCAGAGGATTTCGGTAATCGGAGCAGGCGGCCATCTTAAAGATATAATTCTTTATGTTGGTTCTTAGTTAACTTCTTATAAAAAGTGATCATTCACAGAGGTGGTCGAAACGAGAGAATTTACGTAATCTTTATTTATGATCCGTTTACTTATCATATGAACTGCAAAGGGCCTTAAAGGGCAAAGGGCTTTTTAGCTGCAAAGGGCTTTTTAGCTGCAAAGGGCTGCAAAGGATCTTCGTATAACAGTTCATAATGGAAGTTACCGAAATAGCTCAGAGTTTCGTACTCAAGAGATTTCGTGAAAAAGGCGTTCATTAGTTCGTTTGAGATATTTGTCTAGAAAGTCCAACTTGAGGTCTTTATGCAGCCGGTCGTTACGCCCGTAATAGTGTGCATTAGTCATCAGACGGAGAAACTTATATTGTACAATTTGCAGTTTGCCGATGTCCTTATCCGTAACGGCAGCCCAGGCAGGTGAGGCGTAAGTTAGGATGGGCCTAGTAGTTGAAGTATAAATAAGTTTTTTCTTATTCAGGTCCAGTATGGAATTTTTTGCTATGATTGAGAAAAGCATGTTAATTACACATTCCGTACGTAGCTCACGTGGGCAGTCCAAGTCAGTTTCATTTAAAACTACTCCTAAGTATTATGCTTGCTTTACAAGCGGTACAGGCTCGTTGAACAGAAGTAGTTTATCCGTGATTGGAGTACCTCCTTTCTTTCGTCTGATTACTAGAATCTGTGATTTAGTGGCATTGATCGCCACTTTCCATCGTAGGCACCAGTTCTAGATTTTAGGAATTTCAGCTTGGAGTTTCCTGACAGCGTGGTTAATGTTAGCCGATTTTACAACCATCTGCATAACAAGTTATAGTCTGCATAACAAGCTAGCAACGATGACGAGCGATGTAGCTTGGGAAAATCCGCAACATAGAATGGGTAGAGTATCGGTCCGATCGTTCTTCCTTGTGGTACGCCAGCATGTATGGGTGTTGCTTTGGAGATAGAATTTCTGACGGAGACTTGGAAAGTACGAGTGGTCAGGAACGAATGCACCAGTAGAATAAGTTCCCTGCTGAAGTTTAGATCAATTAATTTGGAGATGAGCCCTCATGACGCGGTCAAATAACAGAATAAATATTTATCAACTCAAGTTCAAATAATTTTTTTAAAACTTTTAGTGGATGATACTTGATGTTAATACAGTTTTTTCTCTTATTAAAATTTTTGTAATTTTTTAATTAAAATTTTTTTGGATTTTAATTTTTTTTTTTTTTTTTTTTTTTTTTTTTTTTTTTTTTTTGTAATTTAAAATTTTTTTCTTTTTTGACTTAAGTAGGCGTTGACTTTCAAAAAATTTTATTAATTAATTATTAATTAATTAATTTTCAGGCGTTAATAAAATAATTTTTATTTATCCACTATGTTTCAAATACATTTTTTAATCAATACATTTTTAAGTTCAAATACATTTTTTAAACTTGTAGTGGATGACACTTGATGTTAATACAGTTTCTACACATATTAATATTTTTTAATATTTAGTTTAAAATTTTTTTTGTGTTTTGATTTTTTTTAAACTTTTTTTTTTTTTTTTTTTTTGTTGACCTAAGTAGGAATTGACATAAGTAGGAATTTTTTCTTTTTATATTACTTGTTTTTACTTGCTTCGTCGTACGAAAATCGAGAGGGGAAAATTATGCCAGTAATTTAATTCTGAAGGACGCGGTTACATTAAGAATATAACAAAATAAACGGAATAAACTACTGTGACGATCGTATTATTTCTTTAGAAGAAACCTCCATTCCAGTAAGAATACATAGTAATATTAACATTGTAATTACTAATGAAATATCTTCATTTCTATTTTCGCCCACCAGCGGCCGAGCGGTAAAGTCGCTGAACACTGGTAGTTCGGTCCGAGGTTCGAATCCCGCGAACGGGCTGGCTGCATGGGCGTTTTCGTGGTTTTCCCCATGTGTAACGTGTATACGAGCCAGTTCGCTTAGAAAGACCTCCACGAAGGCATCCCTCCCCTTAGGCAGATAGCCCTCGAGGCTTTGCCATAATCACACACACACACATTTCTATTTTCTGTGTATTTTTTGCCCTCTCTTATTGTTGTCCACTGCTAATCCTTATGCCTCAAATTATTAAACGCTCCTAGAAGTGCTCTTTGTGTCGTCTGCTATAGTTTGCGAGTCGTAGCCGTCGTCAGCGTTTATATCGTCTTCGTCACTTTTCATTCTTTTTTATTTAAATGTTTTCGCTGAGCTCCCAGTTTGGCAATGTGCTCTTAAATTAACTCCCACTAACACAATTGTATTTTCAGCTTTATTATTAAGCATCACTTTCTTTGCACATACACCCTATCCAATTCAACAGCAAAATTACAAAATTTTTAAAAACACAATTTTAAAATTACTAATAGAATCTTAAAGTTGCCACACATTTTCTATTTTTAGCCATAAGAGCGTTAGCCCAGAAGGGCCATTAATTTCGTTTTGGCAGTTTTTGGCGTTTCACTATAAACGTCTGTTCACTTTTCAAATTGTTGCCACCCAATGTTACAGCCCTGTATTATATTTAAAAAATATAAAATAATAAAAATCTGCGTAAATGTATGTATATTTCTCGCAAAACAACGGTACATAGAGTCATCGAATTTTGAATAACGTAATCCTCCAACGAATATGAGCATGTGGAAGACCAATTTGAAATTTTGAATTTGTTTTATTATCGATTTCCTATTTTTAAAACTTTGACGAATTTTTGATTAACAAACTCAAGGATTTCAAAGCGAGCAATGGCAACGTTGTGCAGAAAAACATTTTTATCTCCAGCGCATGTGAGTCTCTGTATCGGAAATTCTAAAGATATGCTCGTTTAAAATTTATTTTGCGATATTGCTGTTGCAACTGGATCTTATGGTTTAAGTGCGAAGGAACGCGATATTTAATAAAGAAATGTAACACACAAAATGTTAAAAAACGCCCTTTGGACGTAATTTAAAATCTGAAACATTTTTTTTTTTTTTTTTTTAAAGTCCAAAGGGATTTGAATCCCGAAGGATTATTAGTTTTCGTTTTGGCGATTTTGCGTCGGACGGATTATAAATGTCGGTTTCACTTTTCAAACTGTTGCCACCGAAAATCCTGTTAAGTTGAGTCCTGCATTATATTTGAAGAAATTAAATAATGAAAATCTGCGTAAATGTATGTATATTTCTCGCATTGTCATAAAATAACGGTACATAGAGTCATCGAATTTTGAATAACGTAATCCTCCAACGAATATGAGCATGTGGAAAGACCAAATTTGGAAATTTGTTTTATGATCGATTTCCTATTTTTTAAAACTTTGACGAATTTTTGATTAACAAACTCAAGGATTTCAAAGCGAGCAATGGCAACGTTGTGCAGAAAAAAATTTTTTATCTCCAGCGCGTGAGTCTCTGTATCGGAAATTCTAAAGATATGCTCGTTTTATTAAAACTATTTTGCGATATTGCTGTTGCACTGGATCTTATGGTTTAAGTGCGGAACATGATATTTAATAAAGAAAGTAACACACAAAATGTTAAAAAACGCCCCTTTGGACGTAATGTAAAATCGGAAAGATTTCAGATTTTTTTTTTTTTTTTTTTTTTTTTCTGAAAGACATTCTTATCCCTTCACTAAGTCCGCAACAAAATTTCACAATTTTCGTATCCCTCGTTTCGCTTGTGGGTAGCTTTGGAATACCGTTCTTTAATTAGCGACCTCCTGCATATGTTTATGATCAACTACTGTGAAAATAATGGCCACGTAGGGACTTTTCCGGACGCATTGTATTATTTTTACAAACATTAATGATTTAGAATTATTTATTGTAATTTTATTTCGTAGGTGAATGGCAATGATCTACGTCATGCTACTCATGAGCAAGCAGCAGCAGCGTTAAAAGGAGCAGGCCAGACTGTCACTATGGTCGTACAGTACAGACCAGAAGGTAAGTTCCTGTTACTCTAGTACAGTGATCATGCTTTTTGTCTGAATTGAATCTGATGCCGGTTTTGCCGATCCGAACATATTGTTTATGTAAAAATGTACAACTCTAACATGTATGCTGTAATTTATTACGGACTAGCTGCTACACGGGCAGCCTTCGTCTGGCTTTTAAATGAACCAGAAAAATGCCTGATGGGAACACCAAACATTAAATTTAAAAACTGCACAGAATTTGACTCTGCAGAACAACTTTATCAAAAACAAAAACAAAAAAAAAAAAAAACCCACAAAGGGGAAAAAACAGAAATTTCAATAAAAGTGTGTTATGTATAAAAAAAATTTACAACGAAATAAGCAATATCCCTTAACACAAATATTAATTATTCTAATAAATAAATCAACCAACTTCCCATTGCAAAATCTTAATTCAAATTTTATAAAGGTAGTTAAAAACTTTGTTTCCTAAAAACCAAATGCAAAACTTTTTATATAATTAAAGCTGTATATATTAAAATATAATATTACAAAAATTACAACGAACGTGGGAACAATATGAATATTGGATATCATATGGCGTTTCTTGCATATGGTGCATGTAACCCTTAAACCGAGGAATGATAGTGGATTCTTTGATGCCATTCAAATTTAGGCTTTCAAACAGCTAATTATTTAAATTTTTGTTGTCTTTCGTGAACCCCTCATTTTCCCTGCACATTTCCTCGCCAGGATGCTAATTTAAAGTTAAGTGAAGTGAGTATTTACACCGATCACTCTTGGAGTTTATTCGGAGCATGTTTTCGGTAGCCAGCGTACATTTCGTTTCTGACCTTGCTGTTACGCGGTGTTGCTGATACGTCCTTTTGGCCGTTTGAATAATTATCACGCCTGGTAGGTTGCCGACTCAACCTAGCTAGCAGTAACTTAAGGAGATCCTAATTTATTTAAAACTATTTTGTTTTAAATAAGCAGTACTCTCTTTAGACTTGAATTGGTTTGTGTAACAACACTTAAGTTGTATAAGGTATTTCTCCCGCCCTCTTGACATGCCTTCGTTGGTGTGGTGGTCTGCACGCTGGGCGCGTATTCCAGAATTCCGTGGTTCAATTCCCGAGGATGGCGTTTGCTCATTTTTCATCTTTCCGGCTTCCTTCGAAATAACCTAATGGCACCCGAACTAAAAGAGATGGTGGATGATGATTCTCCTCACCCAGGATTTGGCGACTGGGTCCCCTAAAAACTCCCAGGCGCACTTTAAAAGGGAGAGTATATAAGATATTTCTCCGCCTTCTTGGCATGCCTTCGTGGTTTGGTGGTCTGCACGCTGAGCGCGTATTCCAGAAGTTCGTGATTCGATTCCCGGCGAAGGCGTTTGCTCGTTTTTCATTTTTTCTGCTTCCAAATAATAATTGTCGGTGTTATTGTAAAGCAAGAAGTACGTGCCTTTCTGTTCATAGTTGAGAATAATAAAGGGTTGTTTTGACAATTCGGTGCTGGTATTATTTCACGCCTGAGCGAGAAGTCTCCAGGTTCATTAGTAGGATCTAGTTTAGTTTGTGTGGCCAAAGACAGTTAGATCCTGTACAGCCTCTGAGTTGTCATACGAAACTCTTTTCAGGGCTGACGCCATGATGTAAATTATGAAATTTTGCTTATAAAGGCGAAAGTAGCGAATCGTACGAGCTGGGGTTAGACTGTTGATTCGTCTTTTACGGAATCAAACGTTTTTGAGGCAGGGTGGGTGATGGAGATTGAGGATAAATGGGATCGGAGTTCTTCCGAATAAGAGTTTTGCATTCTGTTGGTCTTCAGGATGGTTGGGATATTCTTCAGAAACGTTCCTGAATGTTTTTTTTTTTCAGTTGTACATATTTTAAACAAAGGGTAGAAATAAATTCGTCGGTGATTTTCGCTATTCGTTTTTCATACTATTTTTGTGAGAAAATCTGTTTCTCTCAAACAATCGGTTATAACGAACCACCGAATAGAGCGAACGGTGCGGTGTCTTCTAGTTCGTTACTGCGATGTGACAGTACATAAAATTTGCATGTTATTTTTGTGTTAATAATATTAGGATAAAATTGCAAAAAATCAGTGTTATTTCTCTCAGACGCACCAAATTGATCAAAAAGCATCTAGAATATCAATTTTAAAAGTGATAATCTAAGTTTTGGTTTGGTTTATTTGATTACGACAGAAAACGCTAGATGTTTCTGCGCAAGGAAATAAGGGATGCTTTCGTGGAAGATTTAATGTAAATTGGCTCGTATCCACATTACACATGGACGCTAAACCAAGAAACGTTAATAACCACCAAATGCCCTTCAATAAGTCCGAAGCTGGGTTCCTTTCTCGCCCCAAAACCTAGGTAGAACTTCCAGTGTTCAGTGATTTTACCTATCTGCCGCTTGTCGGCCTGTGCTAATCTAGCAACCCCAAATCAGAAACAGTAAATTATAAAGAAGGAAAAGTACTTACGAATTTGTCGAACACAAGCAAAGGAGCATGTGCCTGCAAAAAAAAAAAAAAAAAAAAGAAAGAAAGAAAAAAGAAAGAAAAAAAAGAAAAAGAGAGAGAGAGCTTCAATTTTAATCCAATAGGCAATTAAAAAAATAACTACTAAATACCGTATTTACTCAAAAGGAGACCACTTCTAAAATAAGAACATCCTTACATTCAAGAATAAATTTTAAGGTATCAAAATAGGCAAATATTTATTCTAGCTTCCCCTTCCTTCAGATTTGCTTTAAAATAATACCGCCATTAGCTGGAGTCCAGCGACAATGTCAGCGATGTATTTTCATGCGTATCAGTTACCAATTATTGGTCTAAACAACTTTATCAAAAAAAAAAAAAAAACAAATTGCAATAAAATTTATTACATATGAAAAAATTACAATGAAATAAGCAATATCTCTATAACACAAATATTAATTATCCTAATAAATAAAATAATCAACTTCCCGTTGCAAAATCTTAAGAATTCAAATGGTATTGTAAATTCAGTACACCCCATGTCGGGTGAAAGAAAGACAGGTTGTCTATTAAATTATTTATTTGATAAACAAAAATAGATTTCTTGATTAAAACATAAAAATAAACTGATCATTGCAGCCCTAAATCATACAATATCCGCTAACGCAGATTGGACGCAAAAACGTCCCTTTTACTGTAGTTACAGCATAAAAAAAAACTATTGTTCTAACATAAACCACTGGCGTGGTTAGAACGTAAAGATGCGTCCTGTCACCTCACAATCACATGAAGACTACAAAAGATTTCACATCGTTTTTGTTTATCTGCGAAGAGAAACATAATTATTTCTTTGGTCCGGAAACTCCCAGGGGTTTTTCTGCAGTCCTGATTTTCGCAGGTATGGTCCATCGTCCGCGAACCAAACAGGAAGTTATAATTCAGCACCTGTGCCCGCGGGGGTGGCTAGTAGCTGTATCGTCACAATATAAAGGAAGTTAAGAACTTTTGTTTCCTAAACAAATCATGCAAACGTTTAGATATAAAATTATATAATTAAAACATAATATAAAAATTACAATGAAATAAGCAATCAATCTCGTATTTTCAAGTGAAAACGGTCAGCAGTCCAGTATCCAAAGCAATGAATGGAAAACTGTTGCCCAAACCACTTTTCTAAAAAAATGAAACTCTCATCGGAAAGCAAAAATCGATCAAAATTGTGCTTTGCTGATGACATAATTCAAAATATATACCTTCTTTGACTTTAGCTAATAAACAGAGAAAGAGAGAGAGAGAGAAAGGAAATTCTTTCTGTAGTGCCTCGCGAGACACATGCTCGTGGAGAATAAGAAGATTGCGATGTGCGTGTTGCGCGTAAAATTAATAATATTTTATTTCATATATTCAACAGTCAGCAGTCCAGTATACAAAGTATTGAATAAAAACCTTATTTCTAAAAGAATGAAACTATTCAAAATTATTTTTTTGATTTCATCAAAAAAAGGTAAAATTAAAAAAAATCTGATTTAAATTTCGAAAAAATCGCTTCGAGGTGCGGTTGCTCTTGTCTAGATGCCTCCTATGCACCAAATTTCGTAGCCGTAGGTCTATTAGCTTATGCGCAGCACGATCGAAAGACACACACACAGACAGGCAGACTCTTCCTTTTATATAATACGATTATGCCTACTTAGAGCTCTTAGCTGTCTCTTTTGTTCTATTACTTTCGTTACATACTTAGAAAGGCTATTACTTTCGTTATGACATTTTGCGTTGGTTCACTACAAATGTCGGTTCACTTTTTAAATTGTTCCCACCCAATATTTTCGTCCTGTGTTATATTTAAAGAAATTAAATAATGAAGAATCTGCTTAAATGTATGTATAGTTATCGCATTGTGATAAAACGATGATAGAGCCATCCAATTTTGAATAACGTATCTTCCACCAAATATGGGCATCTGAAAGCCCTAATTTGGAATTTGAAATTTGTTTTATTATCGATTCCATATGTTGTTTTTGATTAACAAACTCAACCACTTCGAAGCGAGCAATGGCAACACTATACGGAAAAAAAAAAATAATAATAACTCCAGCGCGCGGTTCAATAGTTTACTGTGTATTGGAAATTCTAAAGATATGCTCTCTGTTGAATTGAATTTTACAGTTTAACTGCGAAGAACATGGTATTTGATATATAAAGGTGAACACACTAAACGCTAAAAAAATTTACATTTGGGCGTAATGTAAAATCTGAAAAGTTTCTGTTTTTATTATTTATTATTTAGTTTTTCGTAAGTAGTTCTTTATTCTTAATTTTACTTTCTACAAAAGAAATGGGTATTTTACGAATGTTTAAACATATCACAGGGAAAACGCTTTCAAAAGCTGCCAGTACACGTATAAATCTGTGAAAAAGGCGGACAGACATCTTTTCCCTTCCTTTTGCTAGGGGTATTTCTGGAAGTATTCATCATACTTAACGATGATTGCTTAAACATGAGTATGATATAGCTGGCGTTCGGCAGAAGCACCTCACATAAGTTCAAATCCCCAAGTGCCCCC